AACAAGTGGAAAGGATAATAGAAACTGAAATGACATTATTAAATAGTTTTCTTTTTCCACTTTTATCTTTAAGAGGTAAAATACCACACCTCATATACAGAAATACAGGATAGAGTACAATACACATTGAATTAATGAATAGAAATGTTGGTGTATGACTTGCTGTCAGAGCCCAGCCACTTCTTTGGCCAGTTGTATTTTATCACAGATATAACACATAACATAATATTGTCATACACAGGGAGCTGGGAGCCTGCAACAGCTTTTAAAACTATTTAGGTGACAATTATCAGTCTCCTTTTTTACTGAGGTCTTTGACTTTTTATGATGAGGTGATGCTTCTTTTTCTAAGGTGTGAGTGAAGTAAAGACACAGGGATGAGTAGATGAGGGCGACTTGGCTGAGCATCACTCTCTTCAAAAGCACTGGTTAACAAACACATTTAAGCTAGGAACAGACGCTGGCCTGCTTCACACTGCTTGTATCTCATGCAGTGAGACCCTGAAGCTGACTCACATCACTGGATAATTATTAGAATTTACAGTGCACAGGGTTTAAAGCCTGCTATGATAATGGATTTCTGTCATGAATACAGAGACTTTGATTGTTGTTTACTGGAGAAAAATCCACTGTTCCTCTGCAGGCGAAATACAAATGCTAACCACTTTCTTGAAATGACTTTCATACTTTTATAAAATGTATGATATTAGTTAGTTTTACCATTTACTTGTTCATGGGTTGGATGGAAGGATGATGCAGAATACAGCCAGAAAACAAGATGCTGGTGTGGGAGGTGGAGATGTGTTTAACGAGGGCGTGTCTGACACACAGCAGCAATCGATTCCCACCCCGACTTTAGTCATTGATTATTCCATATGTGACGGCTTTCTCTAAGTTGAGCACATTTATCATTTTGCAAATAGACATTTTGACAGTGTTTGCACATAAATTTGAAATTTGTCAGTGCTCCGCATAGACGGACAGATGATAGATATTCATATGCGGTTGGTCCACCACTAATGCCAGTCCACATGTTAGGTCCTCTGTGGTAACAGCACTGCTAGCATAGTAACCTACTAAATAAAGGTAAAGTTATATCTAATGTTGGCAGCTACTAGGTTACTAAGCTAGCAGTGCTGTTACCACAAGCGTTACCCCAAGGAGAACAGGGAATCTGTACCCAAACCTGTGGCTGGCACCATCTTAAATATTGTTTGTAAAATGATAATAGCCTAGTATACTGATTAAAATGAAAATAAAGCCACATGATATTGGAATATTTCACATTAAAATATGTATTTAGTTAAAGTCCAATCAAAGTGAAGAGCAATTTTATTTCTGGAAAACAGCCTAAATTTTATGCTCACTCACTAGTTTCTACTGTACTTACATTTAGGGTTTTGTATTGACTTTTGTGAATGGAAGGAAAATGGTGCTGAGTGTGATCACTGCATAAACTATAATAACACACACTGAAACAACATACGTGTTCAGATACTGTATGTTATAACACAAATACAGGTTGTGATTAAACAAAAAAAGACACCCACTTCTGACAATGACCTTTGATAGCACCTCACCTAAAGATCCAGTAAAAAGAACAGCTGATGAAAGAGAGAATAAAACTGCAAACACTTGATCGCTGCTCGTCCTCCTCAGTAGGAGGGATGACTAAGCCCAGGGCCCCAACATTCACCTGCCTACAACCACCTCACATGCTCTGATTTCTCACTTTGCATGTGTTGTCTTCTCAGTGCAGTCTCTACAGCACTTTGTTTATTGGAAGCACAGGTCGGAACAGACAAAACAGGGTGTGGTTAACACAAACTAAGATGTTTATATGTTGCTTAGTTGGACTACAAACCTGGATCATTGGTATCAGCTCCTGGATTTTTAGCCTACTGGTGCGTTTGGACCATTCTAAACTTGATTTTAAAGTGGTTAAACCCAAGAAGTTGAAACTGAGTTGAATTTTGTTTGTTAGTTGAGTTTGTATGTTAAGTCCTCGTGTATCAGTCTGTGATATCTAAGATCTTTAGAGGACTTTAAATTCATGAAGATTTTAAGGTTAAGTTAATGCAGAATATCACAACCGGTCTTACTGATTCACTTCACTAAGGGTTTAGTATTGTGACTAAAACATAGATGAAGACGTTATTAGAGCTGCAGCTAACTATTTTCATTACTGAATAATCTGCTGAATAGTTTCTCAATAATCTCAAAAAGCATTTTAAAATTCCCATTACAGTTTCCTCAAGCCATAAGTTGTCACAAAATGCCTTGTTTTGTCCAGCCACCAATCAAAACCCCAAAGTGTTCAGTCTACTCTACTGTTAAGACAACAAAAAAACAACAAACCGATCAGGTTAAACAATAGAATGTTTGGGCTTTTACTTAAAAACTGACTTCAAAGATTGATTGAGATTAATTTTCTCCATCAACTCTTCAATCTTTGCAGCTCTAGATGTCCTATTATTTCACAAAATAACATTATGGCTAAATAAAATACCTTTAATTGCAAAACTGTATGAAGAGCTATTGTTTCAACCTGAGTTGTAGGCTATGTAAAAACAAAAATCCCAAAAGCTGAGTATCACAGGACCCTTGAAACCCTCTGCACCAGTGTCACCTACAGATTCCCGTTCACTGTCGTTGTTTGGTAGAGAATCTGATCTGAGGCCGTCAGCCTGCAGCAGCAGTCCTCTCAGGCACTCTGCATTGTTGATGTGCGCTGGCCCCAGGGGAAATGGCAACGTCTCACACCGACTTGGTGTCTTTGTTATTGTAGTATCACGTTGTACCAGTTTGCAGTGTCAGCAAACAGTCAACCTGCAGGCAGCCATCAGCAGCAGCTGATGCAGTCTCCTCTGTTTTCACCTGAGAAAAGCACATCAGGAGGTCACAGAGATGCACACTCACCCTGGCCTTCACTCTTCTGAAAGTGGATAAATACAGATTCCTACTGGAGCTGCATGAGGCCGGTGTCTCCAATGTCTGTGTCGATGAGGTTGCCTCAGTGTTGTGTGTTGCTATTGTCAACGTTGGAAGTATCAAAGCAAACTCACCCTCACAGCTTAGTCATCATGCTGTGAAAGCGGACGCGTCTGTGGGCAGATCTGCTGAAGCGCCAGAACTGCTCCTAACTGCTGTACCAGCATGTCTGTTAAAAACACACTGATGGCTCTCGTTCCCTGGCGACCAACAAAATCTTTCACTTGCCTCGCATTAGTGATGGTAACAGCAGCAGGTTGTGGTTGACAGGGTGTTGCTATAGTAACATCAACAGAGGGAGCCACATCATTTAGTTGGCTTCATTGAATGTTTGATACTTATGAACAGACAGGTGACAAATTAAAGGAAAAACATGCGAGGAGCACTGAACCTGTTCTGAGACACTTTATGTTGGTTTTTCATTTCATTAGTTGCTTTATAGGCTGTGGCAACATCGACTTTTTTTTTTTTTTTTTTAACCATTTCAATCCGATTAGTCCTTTTACAGTGCTCAGTTTTCTCTTCTTAGTCAGGTCAAATCAGCCAAGGTTCATGTGTTCATGTAACTTTCTCATATCACCAGAACAGTGTCAGGGTTTCTTGTCGGTTTATTGATGACTCCTGCATTTTCCTTTAATTTGTCACCCATCTATATTTACAAGCATTGTCACTGTGAGCTTGTTAGCATATCAACGTTAGCATTTAGCTCAAAGCACCTCGGCATTTGAGTAAAGCCTCACAGAGGCTACTCTTGTAGCCGTTAAAACTCAGACAGGTGCAGTCTTAGTTTTACAGTAGATTTTTTGGATATACCCGTCACAGTACTGTAATACTAAAATACGCAAGATTAGTATGGATCAGCATTAGTTGTTTTCCTCTGTTTACTTAACCCGCTGCCGGAAATCTAATATGCAGCTATTGCAGTAAGTTGAGTTGGCCAGTCTAAAAGCTTTCATGATGTGAATATACAAGGAAAAACCCTGATAATATTTCATATGAGGGTGTTGCAGGTGACCGTTTGCTAGTTAAGGGGAATATGTGGTTGAATATAAAATGATTCAGTTCAGCTCATGTTTTTCATCAGTTATAATGTTAATGTTTTTTACTTCACTGAAGATTAAAAAAGCATAACGTACAAATATCAGCCAAAAGCAGATAATAGAACTGTGATTATCATCTGTCATGTAACAGCTACTGATTGAGCGCTTCTACTCTGACTCACAGATGGTCTAGACTTATCAGTACCACACTGATTGCTGAATTATTTCAGCAGTTTTATTAAATAAAAAAATTTATATTTTTCTTATCAGTTTCACTCAAATGTCTTAGTCCTTTATCCATTACAGTATTTGAGGCGGAGAATGGTTTATATCAGAGGTATTTTATGGAAAACACATGTTGACAGTCTAGTTCTTATAAAGATATCATAGCACTGGATGGTGGAGCCACTGAGATCTCTGTTATTAGACCTCTAATATTAGAGCCTGTATCTGTGCTTAAACAACGGGGAATTAAAAGCTTAACATCTCCTCTGAATGAAATGAAGCACTTGATGCATAATTCAGTTCAAGATGCATGAGGATGTGTAAATATCCTTCAATGTTCTTGGTCTGTAATGATTGGTTTCAACCTACAGCGTATTACATGTTTCCGTTGCGAGAAATCAGGTTTAACACCTAATGTGGATGTTAATATTAGTTTCAGGTTAGTGTGTGTTGTGTTCACAGCTTTAATTTTAAAATTCACCCAAAAGATATCAGTGACCTATTTTCTATTCCAACCTCTGTTCTTGTGTAGTGATTGCCCCACATACAAGGCAGAATGCAGTGAAGTAAATCTCCCTTTCACAAAGAGGTTTTCCAGATCAGGTGTGGATGACGTCCATCACAACGTCTTCTGGCAACAGTGATGGTCAAGTTGTTTACTTTGTAGGGCCGTCACTCCTCGATGGAGTTGAATCTTACCCCATTAAAGGTAGTTAACATAATGTTTTAAATCTCCTCCTACAGGACAAAGAATTCTCCACCACAGAAGTGATGTCCTAGAGACGGTCGTGCTTGTCAACCCTTCAGAAGACACTGTTGTATCAGAGGTAGGTCCACATATTCTGAGATCCAGAACACTAACATATAGTATACACAGTTACCTGTCAATGTCATATCAATTTTAATAACATTTCTAATAGTTTTCAATAATACTAGAATAGTTCGTCTATAGCCCAACCAATACTTGATTTTTGCAACCAATATCTGTTGTCTTTTTTACATCTACAGAATCATTTTTCATAGGAAAAAAGAAATACGTGACCAATATAGTCAGTGCTCTTCAAGTATGTCATGGAGATACTTTCTAAATTACAAAACATTTCTTTAGTGTTTCACTACAGCTGTTTCTTGTACTCATCAAGGACATACTGTATATGCCAATACTAGGATATTTGCAAGAGGCTTATGGTAAATAAGATACTTTATAAATTTGTTCAGAATCATGATTTAAATGAGGCCCCATCTGATCTAAGAAAATGAGATTCAGTCCCTGCTTTCAGTATGTGTTAGTTTTTGACATATCAATCAGTACCACTGATGTGTTGACATTAGACACCCTGCAAATCCCCTGCTTTGTACTGGTTTTAAATACTGACTAATATACAGTAATTACAGGACTGATTACCTTTGTGTCTATTAGATTTTTCTGTATTTTGTGCAACACAACCTTGACACAAATATAGTGCCTCTTCCTTTGTCAGCGATGCAGGTATTTCTGTTTCCATCTTGGCAGTGTTGTCTCTCCTCTAACTGTCCTTTGTATTCCTCTGTCTGTCTTGTCTGGGTGTGTCTCTGTGCCAGATCCAGTCTCTAGTCACAGATCCTGCAGGACACAAGCTTCTGGTCTTGAGTGGCCAGAGTTCCGATCACGGCGGCCTCCTTCTCCAAACTGGGGTTTTCACCTATCAGACCTTTTCATGTATCTTTACTGATCCTGGGGTGAGTCAAATCCTCCAACACTAACACCAGCCTGATCGAAAACATATACTGTACATTTCTGTACATGAGAAAGAATCAGTACCTGCTTTGATACGTTTTAGGAGGTTATTTATATATTCTTAGGAACAGAATCAACACATTTAACCTTGGATAAGTTAATTTATATGGCACATTTTCATACACAAAGGCAATTCAGTGTTTCACTCAATGCACACAAATAAACAATTACATAACAGCACAGAGTAACAACATGCAAGTGTAGATACCTAGTACTTTTAGGATAGCTGTGGCAGACTGTGGATTGTCATTGTTCTCAATATACTTCATACCCCTTTTCTTCAGTCTTCCCAAGCTTAATAACCTCTGAGTTCTTTAATACCAGAGGTGGGCGTACTTTTCTTTTGGAAAATTTGAAACACCGGTGTCTACACAGTCAGCTAAGCAGTCTTATTTGTTTGTGTTTACAACACAAATGCACCACATTTCTGCATGCATCACTGACTGATTTGTCTGGATGTGTCTGTCCTGCAGGTCAGTGAATTACTGGGCACAGCAGCTCCCAAGCAGCAGGCTACACTTACTGTGTCCTGCCGTGGGGAGGTGGGCTGGGGCTCCCTGGGACAGCAGCAGACCCTACGGGAGTTCCTGGAATACAAACTAAACCCTGAGCCCGTTCTCCCCAAAATGGAGGGCGTCACAGAGTTCACAGAGTACATCTCTGAGACAGTTGATGTCCCTTCACCCTTTGACCTTCTGGAGCCACCGACCTCTGGAGGCTTCCTGAAACTGTCCAAGCCATGTTGCTACATCTTTCCTGGTGGACGAGGAGACTCAGCCCTCTTTGCTGTGAACGGCTTCAACATCTTGGTGGATGGAGGTTCTGAACGAAAGTCCTGCTTCTGGAAGCTGGTTCGTCATTTGGACCGCATTGACTCAATTTTACTTACACACATTGGCGCTGACAATCTCCCAGGTATCAATGGGCTTCTTCAGAGGAAGATAGCAGAACAGGAAGAGGAGCGGTCTCAAGGCTCCACCAACTATAGCGACTGGATGAAGAACCTAATCTCTCCCGAACTAGGTGTGGTGTTCTTCAACGTACCAGAAAAACTCCGTATGCCAGAATCAAATCTGAAAGTGAAACGCAGCATCGAAGAAGCCTCGCTGACTTTGCAGTACCTTAATAAATTAGGAATCAAACCAGAGCCGCTCTTTCGAGTTGTCAGCAACACTCTTGAGCCTATTACTCTGTTCCACAAGATGGGAGTGGGCAGGTTAGACATGTATATTCTCAACCCTGTCAAAGACAGTAAAGAGATGCAGTTTTTAATGCAGAAGTGGGCTGGCAACAGCAAGGCCAAAACTGGCATTGTGCTGCCCAACGGGAAAGAAGGAGAAATATCTGTGCCCTACCTGACATCAGTTACAGCCTTAGTCGTCTGGCTCCCCGCCAGCCCTGCAGAAAAGATTGTAAGAGTGCTGTTCCCTGGGAATGCACCACAAAACAAGATCCTGGAGGGGCTAGAAAAATTAAAGCACCTTGACTTCTTGCGCTACCCAGTAGCCACACAGAAGGACATTGCCTCAGGAGTTCCTCCCTCTGTTATAAAACAAACCAAGTTAAAACAAAGAACAGACAGCAAAGAGAGTCTTAAATCCTCCCCGAAGACGATTGCAAAGGTTGCAAAGAAAGAAACCGAAGGACAAGATGTGTCAGCCCCCACAGAGGCAAAGAGAGACTCTGTGAAAGAAAATATATCAGAGAAAAAGGAGGAGAAAAAGCCTACCAAGACTATAAAACCTAAAACTGAGGTGCCAGAAAAGAAAAAACTCTTGAAAGAAAAATCCATTAAAAAGCACTCAAAGGAAAGGGTGTCAAAAATGGATGAGAAAAAGGACAAGGAAAAGAAAGAGATCAAGAAAGTAAAGAAAGATGACTCGGTTAAGAAAGATGAAAAGAAAGATGTTAAGAAAGATGTTAAGTCCAAAGAGGACAAAAAGAAAGAAACATCCAAACCTGAGCTGAGAAAAATTACAAAGCCTGACCTAAAACCACTAACTCCAGAAGTCAGGAAGACATTGCATAAAGCTAAAGTGTCAAGTAAAGCCAAGACTGGAAAAATCAAAGCAGCAAAAGTTGAACCTGCAGAAACCAAACCAGAGGAGCCAAAACCTGAAACTATTCAACCTGGACCAGTAGCTAATGGAGCTGTTGAGGGCATGTCTGCTCCCTCCACACCTGAAGACCTCACCAAGGACTTTGAAGAATTGAAGCAGGCTGAGATTGTAGCTCTATCAGCAGAACCACCGGTCGGCGTTGAAGTTTCATCAACACCAACAGCACAAGAGGAGGAAGCACAAGAAACTACATCTGAAATTCCAGCTGGCACAAAGTCTCCTGAAAAGGGGTTATCAAGCCCAGAAGTGAAAGCTGAAGTTGAAGACAAGGACAGGAAGTTGATACAAGACAGAGACTTGGAAGAGGCTCAAAAGTTTAAAGACGAGGGAGCGGAAACTCAGGATGAAGAAGAGGAAGAGGAAGAAGAAGCCCCAGCTGCTAAAAAGAAAACGGAGGAGGAGGAAGAGGAGGATATGGGAATAGGTGAAGAGGAAGATGAATCAAAATGGAAGGAGGCCAAGGGCAATGGGCTTGACAGGAAACATGAGATTGAAGAAATGGAAAAATCAGAAAATCTCTCAGCTGAGGTTGTAACAAAGGAGGAGCTATACATGACTCCATCTAAGGATGAGCAAGAGGGAGAAGAGGAGGAGGAGGCAGTGGAGAAAGCTGAACTGGAGGAAGTGGAGGATTTAGATGTAATAGCAGATGAAGAGATTAAAGTCAGCCCTGACGATGCTGCTGAAGACCTGAAAGTCACTGAAAGCAAAACTGCTGAAATCCTTACTACAACCAAAGATGATGAGGAAGAGGAGGAAGGCTACCTGTCACATGTTGGAGGACCCACGGCTCCCATAACTTCAGTCGCTCAAGGAGCCGCTGAACCCGTCTCCTACATCCAAGATGAGACCATCCCCGGCTATTCGGAGACAGAACAGACCATCTCTGATGAAGAGATTCATGAGGAGGCAGAGGAGAGGGTACCGCACCTTCAATATGACGTCAGTGCTTATGACATCTCTGTTCCAGATCAAACAGGATCATTTGTAAACATCCATGGCATGAGGGAGATGCAAGCTGCAGCAACGACTGAGAAGGGTTTTATCCTGGGTGTGCAGGAGCAAGTATCTGCATTTACCAACATCATCACAGCTCCTTTGGCAGAAGAGGAGCATGTATCATCTGCAACATCCATCACAGAGTATGACAGAATGGCCTCCTTCCCCACTTCTATCGCTGAAGACCAATCTGTAGCATCTGTTGCAGCACCTCCAGCTGAGGAGGAACCCAAAACCCCTGCTCTTCTGTCAACTCTGTCTGATGCTACACAAGGCAAAGAGCAGCCACGCTCTGCAGGAAGCTTTTCACCGCCTTCTTTAGAAGATGACAAACAATCCAAGTCTCCACCTGATGACTTACAGCTTCCTGATGCAGATGTGAAGATGGCAGTTAAAACTCCTGATTTTCACGATGCAGAGGAGGAAGAAGAAGAGGAGGAGGAGGAGGAAGACCGAACTCCTAATGTTGACATTTCACTTGAAAAACTACAAGAGGGCTATGCTTCATCCCAAATATTACAGGGTAAAGAAAAAGACGAACAGCTTGCTGGCTCAGTGTCTCTGGTCTCAAAATCTATACACGATACCAAACCAATCCCTCTTCCAGTTGAAGAGGAAAATATAGATGCAGTTGCACCTAAAGACATTTCATCTGTTGTGCCTACTAGACCTTTTGGATCAGACTCAGTAACTTCAGAGAGTGAAGACCGTTGTTTCAGTCCAGATGACATCACTGTGAAAATGGCCTCCCCTCCGCAGTCTGGACACTCAAGTGCAGCTCACTCTCCAGTTCATCAGTCAGCAGTGGAAGACAAAATGAAAGCCTTCCCTGATTTGGAGCTGCAAAAACAAGATGAGCTCTCTGATGTAGTCACAACAGCTGAAGACAGAACGAAAAGGAAAGATGAGGCAGAATCAGAGATGCAAAAAGATGTTGACAAAGAGAAAGCAGACCAGCATGAAATAGAAGATGCAATTTCTTTGGACAAATCACCTGAGATGGATATAAAAGCTGCTCCAGTGATGAAAGATTCAGATAAAGATGCTCATTCAGTGCCAAAAGATGAAAGCAAACAGGCAGAAACAATTCCTGTTGTTGCTGCACCTTTAACAGACTTTCAGCCACTTGTGTTAGAGAGGGATTCCCTCATCTCATCTGGTCAGCATGACCAAGACAGCGGTGGAGTCAAAGAGAAGGAACCTAAAGTGCCTGTTCCAGGTAAATTTCCAGAGAGGGAGAGTCGTTTCCTGGATGATGACGATGACCACAGGAAAGACGATGATGACAAATCTGCAGTTAGGACCATCAAGGCAGAACAAGAGAGAGAGCCTGACAAAGACCATACTCTTGAGGTCAAACAAATCAAAGATGAGCAGATGCAGAAAGATACCAAACAAGATGATTTTGACCCTAAAACCAAAGGTGAGGTTAAGGAGACTGAGGTTAAGAAGGATGGTGTTACTGATAGTAAGAGTTTGAAAGAGGAGAAGAAAAAGGAGGATACTTTTGATATCAAGTCTATAAAGACCGAAGAAGAAGAGATCAAAAAGGCCCAAGCCATAGATTTCAAACCTGTTAAAGAGCAGGTGGAAAAAGAAGCTAAAAAGGATGATATACCCATTACTGGGCCTATTAAAGATGATGAGAAGAAAAAGGAAACAGAAATATCTGACATCAAAATGGTTGAGGATAAAAAAGAAAAAGAGATGGAAAAGACAGATGTTTCTGCTGCCAAGCTTTTTTCAGATGAGCAGAGAGAAAGAGAGACAGAGATGGATGACATCACTGTTGCTAAACTCACCAAAGAAGAAGAAATTATTAGTAAGAGTGATACATCTGCTCTTACCATGGAAGAAGAAAAGGGACAAGAGATTTTTAAAGAAGCTTTCTCAGCCATTAGTCTCACCAAGATGGAGGAAAAGGACATAACTGTGAGTAAAGATGATAGTTCTGACACCAAACTTTCCGAGGAGCAGGACAAATATGTAGCATTTAGCAGGGATGATGCTCATGCCTTCAAACATACCACAGAAGAGGACAAGAAGGAAGATGCAAGTAATGATGATATTGCTGCTATAAAGGTTATCAAAGCAGAGGAAGAAGATAAACTGCCTAGTAAGGAACCAACACCTGAAGAAGAAAAGTACCAAGAGGAAAGTCAAGAAACTGCTGCTGCTTTTGAAGTTACCAAGATGGATGGGAAGCATGTAGTAATACATAAAGATGATGACTTCTACACATCAGCCAAGGTAGAAGCAAAAGAAACTCTTAAAGATGATGTCAAACTAGTCAAAGGAGAAAAGGAGCAAGACACAAGCAAAGGTAAAGATGTCACTCCTGCTGTCAAGCCCACCGAGATGGAGGAAGATGATGTCAAACTATCTAAGGATGAAACAAGCATGAAAGATGACGCTTTTGTTGGAAAAACCCCTATGCAAGACAAAAAAGAGAAAGAAATCAGTGAAGATATTTGTGCTGTCAAATCAAAACTAGAGGAAGAAAAGGAGAAAGCAGAGTTAAAGGAAGAAACCGCCACTGTTAAACTGCCTGAGGAAGAAGAACTGACGATTCAGGATCATATTGCAGATATCAAACCCATCAAGGAGGAGGAAGGCAAAGACACTGTTGGTGTAAAACCCTTCATAGATCAGGAGGATAAGGTAGAAGTAAAAGAAGTACCAACTGACTTTAAGACTAAGGAGGAGGAAAAGGAGAAAGAAAAGACTGATAAAGGAATGGAAAAAATTGACATTTCTGGCAAAGAGATAATAAAACAGGAGGCTAAAGAGCTGGAAAAGGGCGATATCTCTGACCACAAACCCATTTTGCAGGAAATTAAGGATAAAGACACTGAAGAGGGTGACTTGAAAAAAGAGAAAGAAACTGACACTACTGTTGAGCATCCCAAGGATGTGAAAGAGCCATCTAAAGTTGAAACCACTGAGGAGCAAATGAAAGATGCAGCCACACCGGGAACCCCTGAAACTGAATCCATCAAACAGGAGACAGAGAAGGAGACATACACTCCAATATTAAGCACCAAAGATGAGAAAAAGGGGAAAGATGATTATCCTTCGGAGTTTGAATCTAGAAAGGATGATAAAAAATGTGAGGTTGATGAGCATATACATGATGAAAGCTCTGATAAACCTCCTGGAGCTGCATCAGCAGAAGAGCAGAAAGACTTTACTGTAACAGCTCCAAATGAACCCCTAGAACCAGCACAAGACATTTGTGAGTCTCCGCTTCACATCCAGGAGGAGAAAAAAGAGAAAGAAACAAAGGTCTTTGTTTCAGAAGAGAAGATCGAGAAAGAAAAAGATGACACCCATGTTGCTGAACTTAGCAAAGAACAGAAAATGGAGAAAGAACAAGAAAAAGAATATATATCTGATACAAAGACAGATGTGATCACAGACAAAGAAAAGTATGACTCATCTGACGCAGACCACACCAAGGAGGAGAAATGGGAGAGAGAGGAATTACAGGAGAAAGACCTGGACAAAACCATTAAACAACCTGCACAGACAACATCTAAAGAGGCGGTGATGGCATCCAGGTCAGACTACAAACCTGCATTTGTGGTTCAGTCTTCAGACGAAGACAGAGAAGACGAAGACGAAGAAGATATTTGTATGGGAGGAGCTGGCTCCAGACCTTTGTCAGTAGAGCCAAGAAAATCAGACCATGACATCTCCTCTGCAGGTCTGCCGTTATCCCAAATTGCACAAACAAGTGACCAGACTAAACCACCAACATGTAAGCAAACACTGATCATACCTACGCTTACAATGCAGGCACCGTCTTTTGATGAAGATGTCAAAGAGTTTGGCAAAGAAGAATTCAGAATTTCACCAGAGCCAGACAAAGAATTTGTTAAAACAGAAACGACCCCTGCACCTCTCTGCAAGCCAGAGCCCTCCTTTGATATTGTCATGTCAGAGGAGGAGACGACCTCCATTCCACAACAAGAACCTTTTTCTGATATTCCAGCTGCCAAAGCAGAACCCGTGTCAGACTCAACTGAGAAAAAGCCTGGATTGCCAACAGTATCAAGCACTGAGAGCCAGTCTGATGTGGAGGAAAGACCACAAGAAGAGAAACAGATACCAGCTCAGACAAGTTCAGGAGTTACTGGTACAGAAAAGATGAAACCTGATGAAAAACCAGGGAAGGAAGCAGAAAGGGAGATGGAGGGAGAACGAGAGGTGGCTTCTCCAGGATTGTCACAACCTTGTTTGTATTTTACATTGGACAAAGATTCTGAGGATGTGAAACATGGTGATGCTGTAAAATCGGATGATTCATGTGAAAAAAAGAGCTCAGAAAAGGAAATAGTCAGTGGAAGCCTCCAAGATGAGAAGCAAACCTTTGGTGCATCCAAGTATGATCCGTACGAAAAGCCCATTCCAAAAGATTATGACTTGGACTCAAGAGAAGAAAGTGAGGTTTCTCTCAGGTTTGATCAGACCTCTGACATCGGTATTGATGACAACAGAAGAACAAGCCAGACAGAGGCTGGAGGAGCCATGCTGCTACTGGACGATCAATACAAAGAAGAGCCTCTGTCCTTCAGTAGAGTTGACTACAGCCCACTGTCCCTTACTGAGAGCGAAAGAAGCAGCCACCATAGTGGAAGTGCCTCCCCTAAATATGAAGACCGAGAGAAAGGCCAAGAGGAAGAGAGTGAGCGAGAAGAAAGACCAGATACACCTTATGTTGCCAAGAGCTTTTCCTCCATAGACATGCAAGACAACAAAATGTCCCAGGCTGCTGAGTCATATTCTTTCAGTCCCAAAGAGGACAAACCTGAGAAATCACAGAAAGAGGAGGAAGACATAAAGGAAAGTGATGCTGCACCAATTCAAACAGGAGCAACTGGAGAAAGTGATAAAGTTTCTACTAGTGCAGGCATATCATTAAGACAAGAAACACCCTCTCCCTCCTGGAGCCAATCAGACCTCGGTAGACAGGCTTCAGCTACTCCCACAGCTTTTGGAGAATTCACAGAGAAGACGACACTGGAAAAAGAGAAGGAAATATCTAGCGAGTCACTTAAAGACAAAACTGAGTCCCCTGATCACGAAAGAGAGGGCTCTTCATCCGGTCGACACTCACCTGCAGAAAAGGACATTTTACCTCAACAAACATCACCCCTAGAGAGGGAAGAACGAACTGATTCACAGACACCCCCTTCTGCCTCATTTTCAGAACATGAAATAGATGACAATGTTCTTACTACTGATAACAGTCAAATTAGCAGCTCTGCCACTGGTAAATCCATGTTTGACCTCCCTGAAGGAAAAGAGAGCCTGATTGATAAACGTTTACTTGTAGAGGGAGAAGATTTCAATGTTGATGATGATGAAGATGAGGATGAGGAGGAGGAGGAAGAAGAGGAATTAAGTGATGTAGATATGGAAAAGGGTGCCAGAGAACAGTCTGAAAAAGAAATGTGCAGATGTAGCTCTGATGACAGTGCTAGGTTAGCCGAGGTGGAAGACTCAAATAAAAAGCCTGAGTCAGGCTTCCTTAAAGAGGAAACGTTGTGTGAACCAGCACTTGATGATGCCTCAGCTTCTGTAGCCACAGAGGCAGACAAGCAAGATGTGACTAAAAAACCACCGTCTCCTGAAACAAAAACACTCAAAGAAGATGATATGACTGCTGATACTGCCACATCCAAACCTCCTGGGACTGAGAGCGTAGATGTAGGTAAAACAACTGCATCACCGGGTTCAAGTGCTCTCAAGAAGGATGAAAGCTGTTTTACTACACCAGATGCCCAAAAGCTTCTTGAAACAACGAAATCCGAGGACACACACAAAGAGCATTTGTCTCCTGAACCAACCACAATGAGAACGGCAGAGGATGTAACTTCTTCTTGTGCAGTAGAGTCAAAAAAAGGAGATGAAGACAAAGTGTCTTTATCTCCAAGCTCTTTAACAAAGGAAACTTGTCAACTAACTTCCATAAGCAGTTTGACAGGCAGCTCTTTACCACCTGACAGTTTAAGCGAGTCCAAACCTACATCTAGTCTTTTCACTCTGCAAACAGGCAGCTATGCCGATATTGGGCAGAGCAGCGCTGGAGATTTTTCTGAGCATATTTACAGTGAGGAGCATCAAGTAGAACTGAAGGAAGATAAGAAAGAAACCCTCAAGTTTTCAGATGCCTCCCAACTACCTAAGCCAAGCGATGATAAATATTACAGCCAAAGAGACGAAGAAAGTGTAGATGAGAGGCAGACCCCAGATATCACTGCCAAACACGAGGCTACTACCTCACCAGCTTGCACATACACCACATTAATATACTCCACGTCAACATACTCCTCCACAACATACTCATCCTCAGCCTCCACTTCTGCCCCTTTGAGCCAACAGTTTAAAGAGAAATTTGAAACTTTCAAATCAAGTTGTGAAGCACCTCAAGCCAAAGCAGAGCCATCGTTCATGACAGTGTCACCAAGTTCGTCCTCTGGAGGATTTCAGAGAGATGAATACATGGAGGTGATGACAAAACCTGCAACACAAGCGTCTTCACTCAGTCAGTTTCAGGAGGCCAAACCGCCATCTCCAATCTTGCATACCATTGCCAAACAAACTGAGGATCAAAGTGGTTCTGCAAAGCCTGAAACAGACACAGAATTGAGCTTTTATATGCTAGAAAGTAAGATTACAACATCTACCACAGCACCATCTCTGCAAAGTACCAAACCAGTAAAGGCTTCAGAATGTTTATCCTCATCAGAGGCTCACTTTGATGTCTCTCCCCTTCAAAGGGCGGACTCCTCTGACGGGGGGTCCCAAGGGTCAGCAGAAGACGGAGAGCCTGATTCCCTTGAAACGGAGGACAGCACCCTGCCTTGTCGTATTGAATGTCAAAAATTTAAAGTGGCTGAGCAAAAACAGACCTTTTCATCAATAACCGAGTCATGTGTTGCAGAAAGCACCATACACGCCACAGAGACGAAGACAGTCACCATGACCTCTACTACTGTGGCACCACCTGACGTCCAAATAACTCAACAGACAGCCTCAGTTACTCCACTGAGTGAGAGTGGAGCTAGCAAAACCTCATGTTCCATAGCAAAAGAGGATGCAGAAAGAAAGAAGAACATGTCAGAGGCAAAGGAAGAAGAGACAACTGGTGCTATTGCATTTTTAAAGGAAGCTGCTGAGGTGGCAGAAAAAGAAACCAGTGAAAAAGATGAAAAAACAAAGACTGCTGAAGATGCTGATGTCAAGCAGAAAATGGAGGAGAAACTAGAAGAAAAGACCGATAAAGAGAGCAGAGAAGAGAAGAAAGCTACAATGGATCCAAGGATGTGTGAAGAAGTAGAACTTGGAAAGGAAAGAGTAGAGGAGAAAAGTCTGTTGGATAACCCACCGGAGAGATTAGAAGTGAGAAGAAAGAGCAGTATATCTGATTGGGAGCTACTGCAGAGACCTGATGACTACCCAAGTGACCCTCCTCCAGGTTATGGTGATGATAATGAGCAGGAAGAGGAGGCAATGGAAGCGATGGAATGGATGGCCAGTGTCCATGGTACCTCTGTGTCCTCCTATCACACAGAAACATTTGAAAAAGAAGACAGGAAGATTGATCATCCCTCCGATTTGAACACCGGTGCTTCTGCCTCCTCTGCTTCCCCTCCAGGCTACTCTTCCTGTGAATATAAACATCACAAGAGAGAACTTTCTCCATCGTTCATCAGTCCCAGCCCTCATGAGCTCTCCAGTGATGAGGGCGAGGAGGACAGCCACAGTGACCATTCCCAGGACGATGACTATGACGATCAGGAGCAGCATTCCATAAAAAGGAGGTCGCACAAGCAGAGGCGCCACCACACTCAGAGTTACCATGGAGACGCAGAACAGGGGCCACACCAGCTGTTAGGCGCCATGTCATCGGGTTTGGCTGTGACCTTAGCTGGAGAGGAGACGCCGCCTACATCAGTGAGTGAATCGTTGCCCTCACAGTCGGATTCTGACGTGCCTCCAGAAACCGAGGAGTGTCCATCCATAACAGCTGAAGGAAATCTGGATTCAGACGAAGATGCTGAACATCTGCCAGTGGACAAGTCATCTGCTTCTGGAGCTGGAGGCGGCCATCATCCTCCTTCACCAAGATCAGCTCAGAAGACCCATGATCCTCTCCCAGAGCCGATAAAGGACCCTCTTCCTCAACCTCCTCACCCGGATGTGTGCATGGTAGATCCAGAGGCTCTCCTCAATGATCACAGCAGCACAGAGAAACTTCTCAAGAAGGAGCGCAAGACCACCAAGGGCCTCAGAAAGAGCAAACCCAAATCTGCTTCCCCTGCTCGAAAGGGAGAAGTCAGGAAGAGGTCCTCTACTCCAGTGAAGCAGACTAAGGAGTCCACCTCACCAAGGTCAGCCTCTCTCAGGAGGAGGGACACAGAGAAAAGCTCCAGGCTGATCAAGATGTCTGAGAATCAGGGCTCCAGAAGTGAGATCCTCAGTCCAGGGAAAGGCTTGGTCAATGGTGTCAAGAGCAGTTCAGGTGTGTTAATATCTTCACAGCCTGCGACACAACACAACTTAAAAAACAATTCTTGGGCTGGTTTAAACTGCTGGGTCATATCTGAGTAAAATACTTGCTTTTTGATCTTTTCAATAATAAAATTTAAGTCAGAAGTAGGAATTAAGATCCACAGATGCATCCCCATCCCTCCCTCCTGCCAAGTACATTAGCATGTTAGCATTAGCTTGATAAGATCCAACAAACTAGCCTTATATTGTATATGAACAAGATTAATTACTGTCTATTTTCAGAGCTTAACAAAATATATATGGGATGATGAACAGTAACTAGCTGTGATAAACAACAGGGCTGCTGATACACTCCCAAAGGAGAGAGACACCCGAGGAGCCTCTCGTAGTAACGCCGCTAGCTTAGCTACAAGACAGTGACGCCCTCAACGGGCCATAAACAAGCTTGTGATACGAGCTTCAGCAGAGGAAGTCCGACGGCAGCGTCTCATGGCTGTTAGCTCTGAGCCTGTCCATGCTACACTGAGCAGTGGCCAGTGTCCCCCATGTCCTCTGACCCTCCACATCACACATTACTTTATATTACACACCCCCCACTTGTTGCTCCCTCACTCCTTTGTTGCATCTACTGAGAGATTAAAATATGGGTGTGTCTTAAAATTACACAGTCATACAGAAGTATATGCCGCTTATGAAATTTGTTCATATGCTGTTTGGTTGTTAGAAATTCTGTGCACTAGAGACTAACTGGTTTGTCTGGCTACTCACAGTGTTTATTGTGGATTGTGTCATTAAAACGTGCAGGCAGAAGATATAATGTATCTGCAACATCAATACACTGTGGTCATATTTGCTGAATAATTTACTTTTAAATATAAATCATTTAGTGAATAGAATATAATTGTTCAGTGGAGAAAAATGCTGCTAAAGTCTCTCTGCTTCTGCAGTGCAATTTTAGTAAATCATGATGATACTGTTATTACACTAATGATGGTTTGTGACTCTGTTCTTATCCAGGTAACAACTCACAGAAACCTAGCACAGCCGTCCCCCCTGGACCACCCATCTATGTCGACCTGGCTTATGTACCCAACCACTGCAGTGCCAAAAATGTGGATCAGGAGTTCTTTAAGAGAGTGCGGGCTTCGTATTACGTGGTGAGCGGTAACGACCCAGGCAGCGGAGAGCCCAGTCGTGGAGTCCTGGACGCACTGCTGGAGGGCAAAGCTCAGTGGGGCTCCAATTTACAGGTATGCATCCTCCATTTCCATCAGTCCAGGCACATAGTCTGTTGGTACATAAACACAACTTGTCATCTTACAATTTGGTATCTGTAAAGGTTAAGAAAAAAAAACAACAATGTTAGCTTTGTATGAAACCAGCCCAGTGTTTTAGTCTTTGCACTTTGCTAAGATAGCCAGCTGCTGGCTCCTGCCACACATTTACATAAGTCCTTTTCAGACATGCACTGGAACCCTGAAATTATCTAGACATTACCTGGAGGAGCTGTGTGTGAAAACGCAAAAGTCCGAGTCATTTGACCCTGAGATTAAGTGGATTTCACTCTGCCAGTGCCCTAGTGAGCCACAGTATATAGTCTGTCGGGTAACTAGCGCAAAATTGGAAGAATACAAACATCAGATGGTGAATAAAAACATCTATTTAAAATGAGGATGCCAATGAAAGTATCTGACTGGAGACACGATGGGATTCATGAGCTTGTTATTACGAGCCGGCACCAGAATCATCAGACGGCAAGAGACTCGGTTGTTTATGACCAAATTAGAATCTGGCTATCTGCACATTTAAGCCCATTTCCCAAATTTCTAAACTATTCTTTTAACGGCTGGTTTCCTTTTTGTGTCCACATCAGGTGACTCTGATCCCGACCCACGACACTGAAGTGACCCGGGACTGGTACCAGCAGACCCACGAGAGGCAGCAGGACCTGAACATCATGGTTCTGGCCTCCAGCAGCACCGTAGTCATGCAGGACGAGTCCTTCCCTGCCTGCAAGATCGAGTTCTGAGCTTCATGGGTCCTGCTATGCCTCCCCCACCCCCTCATCCTCCCCCTTCGCATCATCTGTTCTCACTGGAGGTAGAGTGAGTGCACTCTGCCTTTTCAAAGCTTGTCGCTCTCTCACGGTACTTGTCTCAAACACGACTCAGACTCTGTTACATCATTCTACTTAAAAGTCAAAACTCTGGATTGTTGCTTTCTGTGACAGTGGGGTCATCACGCCAGTCATACTCTACTCTTGTTTGTTTTCTTTTGTGAGTTAACTGTCTGCCCTAACACACGTTTTACTAGCCCTAACAGTCTGGGTGACAATTCTAATTCTTTTCAATAATATAATGACACTTGACTAACTCCTGTCTTAAAGAAAAATGAGCCTAATTATCCCACGAATGTTTAAAGCTGCAGTTGAACTATACTATACTATGTACAATAGTAAACTTACGGCTCCAATCACAGTTTAATCAGTAAGGAAATAGTCCAAGTGGTGGCAAATTTCTGATCCATTAGTGAACTTCTCTAAAGTGTCTCCAAAATTAATCAGTGGTCAGTTTCTTTAGATTCTATTTTTAGAAGTAGAAAATTTTCTGTTTAACTTATTGCTTTCTTTTGCACGGGTGCACACGACAAAATTCTTTGCAATTCTGCTCACGCTACACTAGTGTTTGGATTAACTCGATAATGGCAGATTGCTACCGTGTGCTAAAAAAAGTTCATGTCATTTGTGATGAACTGCCACAAATCTTTCTCCTCGGCTTTCACAGCTTAGCCAGCGCATGACGCTTACACTTCAGCTCAGACTTTCAGTGAGAGCACTTAATCCTTAATTTAGTCAGGCTTCAAATGTGGAATGCAGTATAGTGCAAATATGTTTCTACACTGTCTGGTTGTCTGTGCTCAAGTGAATTTAATAGGCACCAGGCGAAGGGCCAATGTTTCTGCACTAGTCATATCTCTGCTGGATGTAATGGTTCTTCTTTAGGTCTTTATCACAGGCTTTGTTAGTTCTATGTACTCCAGTATACACATAGGTTTGTTTCTGTATCGATACAGAGACTATGTAGTAAAGAAAAAGAAAAAAAAAAAAAGGTTTTTTTTTTTTTTTGTTATTATGCAGCAAATTACTATCATGCATTTGAGAAGACAGCTTAAATTAACATTTAATTTCCTCCTGTTCAGCTACATTGTCAGCACCACGGAGCGACGGGAAAAACAAGCAGTGATCTGTGACAAATGTAGCAACGGAAGGTCATCTTCGTAGGGAACAACACGCCAGAGTGAACTGTGACATTTGTAGTTATTAATGGGGTTATTTTACAGAAAGAAAATATGCGACGTGTGTTACAGGAGGCTTCTTTCATGTGCCTTTAGCTTTGGAGAAAGGGCGATATGTTAAGGATGTGTCAGCCATTTGAAGCAGCCAGAAATGGGTTAAATCAACCTTGAAACAGGATCAATCAGTTCATACAGAGATACTAAACTTACATTATTCAAACTTTGGAAATAACTGGACCTATAATCCAACTGAGCATTAATTCCTCCGCCTGAAATGCCACTTGGGGAAACATTCAAATGAAGGATCGCACCAAATAGGAACGCACTTTTCTGAGGTAACAGAGGTTAAATGTTGGGTTTTTGTCTGTGGTTGAAGCACAGAGTGTTAGTGTTGTTACAGAGAATAACTTTTCATTGTAATATAAAATAATGTGAAAGCTGTTCCTCCAAACTGAGCTTGGCGTTAGCGAGGGACGCCATCTTAATATGAAGCAATTACCTAATATCGATCCCTGAGTAATATTTATAGACTGAGCATGAATGTGATGATTTTACTGGACATAATTATACAGTCGGAATGTTGTACAAGTAGATTTGTGTGCGCGAGTATATGGTACACACTGAGTAGCTGTTTTTAAAGCGCATGGTTCGTCTCAAGGTGACGTGGCGAGTGCGTTTTTTTTTCCAGTGCGTTCACTGTGAAATGTCTTTGTTCACAGCCAGACTGGAGAGCAGCTCATAAGCTCACACTCAAGTTACACCAGGCCAAGTTTGATTTCTTCATTTATATCTGAATTTTAACAGCAACTGATTTACATTTGTCCAAATTTGTGCAAAGTAGTTATAATTTTTCCAATTTATTTTTGTCTAAGATGGTCCATCTCCATCTTATCTTTGTTTTGTTTGGTTTTTTGAAGACTGATGAAGCTGAAACTAGGGGACGGACCAGGCTGGGTGAGGCCAGACAGAATTTGATTTTCATACAGGTGTTTGTTTGAGCTCTTGATGATGGATTGATTGTCAGGATGCTGCCAACTAATAGCAGGAGGACCCTCAACTTGCACAGATTAGCTTCACCCAGTTCTGTACCTCAATCTGACTCTAAATATAGATGACACTTGTCAGAAGACCAGAGCAATTTGTCAGCTTGTGCTAGCCTGGCACTGGTGCCATTTTCCTTCCCTCTAAAACACTCACACTATTTTATAGCTCATCTTAAAAAGCCTCCATATCCCTTGCTCCTCCTGGCCTTCCCTAATTTCAGATCAAAAATATTTGATTCATGGTGTTTTTTCTTCACTTAGCACAGGACACGTCATTATGCACCGCGTGCGGCTTGATGTGCATCTCGTTTGTCATGTTTCCGAGGCAGATGGATTTTTTTTTATCCACTGAGGGAGAATCTGAGTTTGATGCAGGTTAAATAGCTGGGTACGCACAAGTACACACACACACCCCCTAGCCTGGAGAGATTTTGATTAACTGTAGGACACAGGGGGAAACTCGTGTTTTAGTTCATGCTTAAATGTTTGTAAAATGATCAAGCAAAAAGTCCTTTTGTTCCCTTCCCTGATGCTGCATGGAAATGTGTCTGAAACACCAAGAAGCTTTTTAATGTACGGATCCGAATGTGTGGATGGTCTTATACTGTCTTTGAATAATGTTTTTAAGTTGGCAGATTCCAAATAGCCGGCCTTGACATGTTCAAGGCGAGTGCAAGAGCGCTGTGAAACCCTCAGCACTGAACTGTACAACTGTACAGAAGCCGAATGCACTATACGGGAGATCTATTTTTCTGAATGTAGACTTGGTACTACCATACGAATGCTGCTGGATCAAAACAATAGACAGAAAACCAAACAAAAAAAAACATTCACATCAGCCTAGGTAGAAATAAATGTCTTGTTTTAAGTTTTGACAAGTTGTCATTTCAATTCTGGTTCGGTTCCGAAGGTTTGATTTCTAAACTGAGATCCCATAATATGCAGTTCAACAGTAACACGGAAACAGTGCTAACTGCAGCTGCACCTTTTTCCTTTTTCTGAATATGACTTGAAACACATGCAGACTCAAAAGCATCATTAAAAGTAAACGAACACTCCTGTACATGTACACATACAGTATGTACTGTAAACAGATTTGTACATATCACTCTGGAAAAGACAAAGATACAGCAAACAATCCTCCTTGCAAAACCGGTTCATCTAAGCCGATTTTAGTGACAGTGCAATCAGAACTGCTAACGACTCTACAAACCAAGAAAACTACACAAAACACTGACGAGATACAGAAGGAAATACATGTCTTTCTGTTCAGTTTCATGGCCACACCTGCATTAAAATGAAGCTCACAGTATGGTGTCATCTGTTCATCTAATCTTTCTGCATGTGATTTATTTAGTTATAATCCTGAATGTAATTGTTTAACATGGAAATAATAATAAAAAATGCTATTTTAAAGAGGTATACTTGAAAAAAAGCTAACTGTCTTAACTGGTACTGAAATGACCAACAGTAATATAATACTGGGCTGTGCTTTTCATGTTTGCCCTAGATGCTGTATTGGTAGTTCTGTTTGATTCTCTCTCTCTTTTTTGTATTGTAATAATCTTATTTAAGTTTTTCTTCCTAAGCGCAATATTCAATATCTCTCCATCTCTTCAAATCTAACTGGTAAAACTAGAACTACTGCAGATTCATTGTAAAAGGGAAACAGCCTGGTGATCATCAATTAAAGTACATTTAAATCTGCATGTTTGCCTTTGGTGGTGTTTGTGTCCCTTTTATGGCTCATTTATACAGAAGGTTTATCTGAGAAGGAACTAATTCTATCCATCCAAATTATTAAAATGGATTTCAGTAATTACATTATTGTTATTATAGTATCTACCTTGAATGTGACTAAATGAGACGAGGATCTCTAACAGACTAACGGGAGTTCTGTCATTACGTTTGTAGAGTAAAGTAGGAATTCTGTGGGGTTCTTGTAAGGAGACGAATGGGGGCCAGATGTTTTGTCACGCTGAGAGATGAGACTGTAAATCAGAAGCTGAAATTTAAAACTGAAAGCTAAAGATCTTGAGCCCTGAAAAAAGTAAGTGTAACCAAACTATATTTAAGTGTATGAAACATTTTTCAGTTCAAATTAAATGATAAATTTATGGATTTTTAAAATTTTTCCCATCTTGTTTACACTTTATTTATTACTCTATTTAATTGATTGATCAATTTAGCACAATAAATATTTTTAAACTACAAGTCTTCGGTGTATAATTTTATTAATCTGCTTTTCTTGCCTGGGGACATTAACACAGTGGCCCTTATTCAATCGTGCTGCTTTCAAGAAATGTGGGAACTGGGATTAGTGTAACTCTACAAAACTTGCTGAAGCGAGTGTCATGGACAAAATTAAAGGCATGTTTTACACTTGACAGGGCACCAAACCAGGTACAAGAACAATCACTAACGTCGCCTTGCACGGCTTAACAGTTACATTTTTTCAGTACGGTGTTTCCCACTTCCACGCTTCTTAAACGTAGCACTAATTATCTAGTCCAGATGGGGGTGTGCGATCACTGTGGCTGTTTGGTTTACATGTACAGTGGTGTGAAAAAGTGTTTGCCCCCTTACTGATTTCTTATCTTTTTGCATGTTTGTCACACTGTAATGTTTCAGATCGTCAAACAAATTTATATATTAGTCAAAGATAACACAAGTAAACACATCATGCAGTTTTTAAATGAAGGTTTTTATTATTAAGGGAAAACAAAATCCAAAACTATAGAGCCCTGTGTGAACAAGTGTTTGCCCCCTAAACCTAATAACTGGTTGGGCCACCCTTAGCAGCAACAACTGCAATCAAGCGTTTTCGATAACTTGCCATGAGTCTTCCACAGCGCTGTGGAGGAATTTTGGCCCACTCATCTTGGCAGAATGGTTGTAAGTCAGCCACATTGGAGGGTTTTCGGGCATGAACCGCCTTTTTAAGGTCATGCCACAGCATCTCAATTGGATTCAGGTCAGGACTTTGACTAGGCCACTCCAAAGTCTTCATTTTGGTTTTCTTCAGCCATTCAGAAGTGGACTTGCTGGTGTGCTTTGGATCATTGTCCTGCTGCAGAACCCAAGTTCGCTTCAGCTTGAGGTCACAAACGGATGGCCGGACATTCTCCTCCAGGATATTTTGGTACACAGCAGAATTCATGGTTCCACTTATCACAGCATGTCTTCCAGGGCCTGAAGCAGCAAAACAGCCCCAGACCATCACACTACCACCACCATATTTTACTGTTGGTATGATGTTCTTTTTCTGAAATGCAGTGTTACTTTTACGCCACACATAATGGGACACACACCTTCCAAAAAGTTCAACTTTTGTCTCGTCTGTCCACAGAGTATTATCCCAAAAGTCTTGGGGATCATCAAGATGTTTTCTGGCAAAACTGAGACGAGCCTTTATGTTCTTTTTGCTCAGCAGTGGTTTTCGTCTTGGAACTCTGCCATGCAAACCATTTTTGCCCAGTCTCTTTCTTATGGTGGAGTCATGAACACTCACCTTAACTGAGGCAAGTGAGGCCTGCAGTTCTTTGGATGTTGTTGTGGGGTCTTTTGTGACCTCTTGGATGAGTTGTCGCTGCGCTCTTGGGGTAATTTTGGTCGGCCGGCCACTCCTGGGAAGGTTCTCCACTGTTCCATGTTTTCGCCATTTGTGGATAATGGCTCTCACTGTGGTTCGCTGCAGTCCCAAAGCTTTAGAAATGGCTTTATAACCTTTTCCAAACTGATAGAGCTCAATTATTCTCTTTCTCATTTGGTTTTGAATTTCTTTGGATCTCGGCATGATGTCTAGCTTTTGAGGATCTTTTGGTCTACTTCACTTTGTCAGGCAGGTCCTATTTAAGTGATTTCTTGATTGCGAACAGGTGTGGCAGTAATCAGGCCTGGGTGTGGCTAGAGAAATTGAACTCAGGTGCGATAAACCAGTGTTTTGACAGGGGGGCAAACACTTGTTCACACAGGGCTATATAGTTTTGGATTTTGTTTTCCCTTAATAATAAAAACCTTCATTTAAAAACTGCATGATGTGTTTACTTGTGTTATCGTTGACTAATATTTAAATTTGTTTGATGATCTGAAACATTACAGTGTGACAAACATGCAAAAAGATAAGAAATCAGTAAGGGGGCAAACACTTTTTCACACCACTGTAGTTTGACAAAAACTGACCGAGGGACCACGAATGTATGCACAAAAATACCACGTCAATCAACGCAGTCACTGTTGAGATATTTCAGTTTTGACTAAAATAGTTGATAAATGAGAGCAGTATGATTTTAGTTAACCTCAATCTGAAAAAGGTGTTCATTTTGTGAAATGACTGACATAACATTTATGTTTTTGGACTATCACACACATATAAGTTAATATTTCCTATACATGGACAGACTGAAGTCACTGTGCGTTGCTCAGGTGTTTTCATGCAGGTGACAGAATGGGGACAGTTCACACAACGTTAGAATAGTTTGTAGCCATCTGTCAGAAATTTGATTTTTTTTTGGTGACTTTTCCATCATTTTTATCTCAAATGTTACCTCAGAATAATACAAACAAAATAACACTGCATTATAGTAAAAAACAGAGGTCCTCCCTGTTCACTGAAGTTGCAGTGACTCCGTCTTTGTGCTTTGTCAGTTTCCTCACCCTGAAATACAAAGTGGAAAGTGCTAAGCTAACTCCTACATAGGTCTAACACTGTAGCACAGTGAGACACAACGTTGAGCTAAACAATGTTAGTGTGGTAACATGCCGATGCTTAGCAGGTATAATTTAACATTTAGTCTAGTAGGCTTGGCTAAGCAGCACCAAGGACAGTACAACTGAAGGGAGTTTCACCACTAGCATGTCTAAAACTACAGGAAATCCCTAGGAATCCTTGTGAAAGGGTCCATATGCAAAAGGAGAAGCAAAAATTAACTTGGCAGAAAAATATGAAAATCCTCCCCAAATATAAAAATAAATAAAATAGGCCTAAGTTTTAAAATTAGAATCAGTGTCTCCCAGATTACGCTGCACTTTCTCTACTCTGCAACATAAAACTGTAGGTTACTGCACACAGTGAATATGTTTTTACCAAATGTTGAAACAGACTACTTACCTGTCAATGCACAAGTCATGTACTATAGTCCTATGAAGACAAACCCCATCAGACATGACCTATTAAATAAAGTTTGAGCCACCACAAATAAATAACATATCACACTTCTGTGTGTCCCAGTTTTCTTCTACCAAACCGAGTTTGCAGTAAATCTGTAATATGAAGTAAGGAAATGAACTACTGGTGTCAGTATTGGAGACAACGAGTCAGATTGTTGATTGCCTTTACTTTGTCAGGTGTAAATATGAAAAAATAGCAGCTCTGCTCAGTTCCCCCTCCACACTTGCCAAGACAACTTAGTGGTTTTCCATTTGAACTCTGACTTAACTGTGGGGGAAGATAACAGTTCAGTAATGTGTGGTTTTTTTTTTTTTGTTTGTTTTGAATTTGGACTCCACACCTACACCTGAGGCTGTAACACTCGCTGCGTTTCTCTCAGCTGGTGATGAACGGCTCCCAATTTATCTTTGTCTCCTGTTTCACTGCTCCTCTGCAGGTACGTGTGTCAGCGCCAGGCCTCTCGCTGTTCTCCTCTCTGCACTCACAGGGAGACAAACAGAGTGAAAGAGAAAAACAAAAGGCATTTGTCCTGCTGCTCCCTCATTGCTGGCAGTCCATGGAATTGGATGCTACACTATTATATGTAGTTGGGGCTCTGGAGGGGCGATCGAGCATACACGCCGCTGCTGGCTGCCACATTGCCAAGCAAAACAACCTCCCTCCCTCCCCTCCATGCCTTCAGCCTTGTTACCATGACGACGTATTTTGACCTTGGAGGAGGCGGGTTATGGGGGAGCTGAAAATGTGAGGGTGTGAGCGCGGAGGTGGCACTGAAGATCTAACTGGACACCTTCCTGCCTGTGTCAGGTCTGGATGGAGGGTAATTCTCTCATCAGCACAGCTAATAATTACTCTCCTCTCCTGCCTTTCCATTCCACTGCTCTCTTTGCATTTATATTCCAGGAATTTAGCTGAGTGGAAGCTAAAGTTAAACAATAGAAAGTAAGTGGAGGGCTGAGGACACAGCGGCCTCCTACAGTTGAAAGAGCACAAAGGGGGCAGAGGATGTTAAATAAGAGCCGAGAGAAAACCTCAAGGGATTTTTTTTGAGCAGGTTTGGAAAAGAATTCCACCTCAGTGTGTTTCATAACTGCAAGACTGGGACTGGAGAGAGCTGAACAGCTTGGCTATTGTAACTATAGAAATTCACTATTTTATAACGTTCACTTCACAGGATCATTCGATTACATAATGCAGCAATTTTCTTTTGGGGGGCCCAGCTTTCCCTTTGCCTACTTCATCTACTTCTACCTGTATTTGAAATTAACAAAATGAACAGAATCAAAATGATACTTCACATCACCACTGACAAGTTAACAAGGAGCTCGCTGGTTTGCAAACTCTGTAAATAAGCAACCTGCCAATTTCTTCCAAAGTCCACGGGGCTTTGTGCACAGCAGCACTTCCTTTTTATTTGCATCTGTAAATCTGGAAGCACAAACTACAACAATAATCATCTCGTCCTCAGACATTTACCCACAGCTGGTAAAACCTAAACTTCCTGATCCCCGTCAGTCTCATGGCACACATTATCCCA